TCAATGGATTCAGTGGGCGCTTGAATGTCGTCGCTTGCCTCAGCTGAATTCTTTTTATCTTCCAGTTCGAGCGATCCATTACCTGAAATTCCTTCCAGGCTATCAAGTGTAACATGGTTCTCAAAAGTTATTATTTCATTTAACTCATTGATAAAATCACAATTTTCTTCCTGGGGTTGGCGCAGTGCTGAGTTCATGGAAAATGTGACTTTATCACCACCAAAACTCAAGGATATTTTTCCTTCAGCAACATTTATTGTAGCTTGAGCGGTGGCTAGGAAAGGTCTCCCTAATATAATTGGAATGTCGCGGTCTTCGCTCATTTCCATAATAATGAAATCTGCAGGGAAAATAAATTTGTTTACTTGCACGAGTACATCACGAATGATTCCTTTAGGCAATCTTATTGATTTATCGGCAAGCTGAATTACAGTTCTGCATGCTTCTAATTCATAAAGCCCTAATTTAGAGAAAAGCGAGAAGGGCATAAGATTGATACTTGCACCTAAATCACATAATGCCCTAATCGGCTCTAAATTTCCTATTATACAACTAATGATAAAACTCCCAGGATCGCTGAGTTTCTTCGGGAGGTCCTCCTTAAATACGGCACTGCACACACTTTCCAGCTGCACCGCTGCCACTTCATCAGGAAATGCCCGCTTCCGATTGATTATATCCTTGATAAACTTAGCGTAATGTGGCATCTGAGACAAAGCATCAGCAAACGGTATAGTAATTTGAAGACTACGGAAAGTATGTACAAACTTATCAAACTCCTTGGAGTTGTCCTTCTTCCCAAATCGTGCGGGAAAGGGAGCTCGAACCAAAGGCTGAGCAATATCCTTTTCCTTCGGGTCAGACTCCTGAGCGGCTGGTATCGCTCGAGGTTGGGATGGACCTTGCTCCTTAGATGGAATCTGTGTAATTTCATCCTGCACAGGCATATTAGCAACAATAGGGGAAGACGATTGATTTATACCTCTGTCTGGCAGTGGTGGCGATTGCGTCCTTTTTCCTCCTCTAGTTTCGATGGCCTTTGCTTGGTTCGGGACAGTCTCGACTGTCCCAGGCAACGTTCCTTTCTGCTTCAGCTTCAGCGCTTCAGCAATCTGCCCGACTTGTACTTCCAGCATTTTGATCGAAGCAGATGTGTTTCTTTGGAACTCCTGATTCGCTCGCTCTGTGTTCCTCCAGAGTTCCTCCAGACTCAACGGGACTTGTGCCGCTGTGGGAGGTTGAGCGAATGCATGTGCCTGCTGCGGGAAATGGGGGGTTTGATTGTATTGTTGATGATGTGGATTATATCCCCCTTGGATATATTGTTGTGCAGCGAACTATTGTGGCCTCTGAAATTGTTGCTGAGGACGCGGTCCAGCGGGGCCTTGAACTTGCCCTTTTTGGAACTGCTGGAATTGAGGGGCATTTCTGCCAGCCATATAGAAGACCTCCGCCGGGTTCTGAGCTTCCTCATTTGAATACTCAGCAACCTGCGGACATTTTTGGTCTTCATAAGCTTTTTCCTCGCATTCCGCGGCCTCATGTAATGCTTGTTTTCCTTTAGTACGCAGGTCCTGCTTCATAAGCTTAGACAGCTCCTTCACTTGGATTGACAAACTGTCGATCCTTGCATCGTGAGATACGGAAGTAGGGACCTGGTACAGACCCCTCGATGGCTCGGGCCTGTTGGACTCTGGCCAACTTGACTGATTGGCCGCCATCTTCTCAATCAAAGCCCTCGCTTCAGAGGCACAACGCCCCATAAGCGAGCTTCCTGCCGCTGCATCTAAGGACATTCTGAGTTCAGGAGTAATTCCTGAGTAGAAAATCTGAAGTTCCATGAAGTCCGGTATTTCGTGATGAGGGCAGTTGCGGAGTAGTTGTTTGAATCGGCTCCAGGCTTTTGGAAGGGTCTCATCACTCGCCATCTTGAAAGTAAGTATTTCATTCCTCTGGCGAATGGTCTTTGATACAGGATGGTATTTGCTCACGAAGGCCTGCGCTGCTTCCTTGAATGAGCCAGGGATCGGATAAAGGTTATCAAACCATTTCCTGGCCTCTCCTGTTAAAGAAAATGGAAACAGAATCAGTTTGGCAGCGTCCTCCGTGATGCCGTGCGATTTGGAGGTGGCAGCGATCCTATTAAAGTTCTGTAAGTGTTCGTAAGGGCTTTCATTGAGTAGCCCATGAAATTGGCTCTGGCTCGCCAGGCTGACGAGCGCTGGTTTCACCTCATAATGGCCAGAGCCTCTGGGCGCAGAACTTGTAATCAAAGTGTGATCCAGAAGGGTCTGGTAGTGAACATCCATGGGGACTTCAGCAAGTGGGCGATCAGCAGCCCTATGACCCTCAGCCCTCTGGTAAGGCTCAGCAGTAGGTGGTGGGGGAATGATGGTTGTGGGTATCGCAGCGGTGGTGGCAGCTTGTGCCGCTTGGGAAGCAATAAATGCTCCCTGCGCAGCTTGAGTTTGTTTCACCTGAGCGAGGTGCGCTTGCAGCCCCGCCATTCCTTGTTGAATGCTACTGAGGGCTCTCAATAGCTGCTCCTCAGTCTGTGGAAGTGCAGGGGGAATGACAGTAGGGACCACAGAGGGGACGTGGAGCGGCACCTCCTGCGAAGATGCAGATGTGGCGGAGTTTGAAGATGTCCCAGCGGCAGTCTGGAAAGCTGGGATGACAGTAGGAGGAGCGGTGGCATTTCCTTGATTCGCCATGAGTTGTTCTCGCACTTGCTCTCGGAACAGACGTCTCTGTGATCGAGCGGAGGGAGTAGGACTCGTGGGACGCTGAAAACGCTTCGGACCCCTACAAAATGGCAGCCACATACAAAAATTTAAAGTTAGAAGAATTTTAATTGAATACAAAAAGCATGATTACAACGAATTAAAAGTAAATTATGGCGCTTCAAAAGATTTCCAACAGATACTTTTCATGAGTTTCAAATCCCCGGCAACGGCGCCAAATTATGATAACAGAAAAATGTACATTTGTTATTGTATATTAATTCGCAGGGAATTTTATTCGAAAATCAATGAGTAGAGTTTTTATAGAAGAATGGTCAGATATAGCAATTATGTGGTTGTAGACCCTGGATAGTTATCACAATTATTTATACTCTTTTTACTGGTGAGTTTCCAGGTCGAACACAGGGATTTAAAGTCATGAATTTCAATATTAAAAATCTTGGAGAAGCGACGAAGAAACAAAAGGGGAGCCCGCTTCGAGCGGAGAACCTTCAACTACTGAAAGCAGTAAATAAAGCAGTAAACATGAACGGGGGTGAGCGAAGCGAAAGTGATAGGATTGGGATGCGAGCGAGCGGCCTGATATATGTATATGTACATGAGCGAAGTAGAGTGAAAGAGAAGCGTTGTGTCTGAGCTGTGTGTTACTAAATGGATAGAATTCCATGGATGCAGCGAGCGAATGATGAAATTGTGTTATCGGAAGCATATATGTATTTTACGAAAATGATGACAGAAAGATGTTGTAATTATATAAACTCGATTATAAAGAACTCATCACACTGGTATTTTGGCCTGGGGGGGATTTACAACAAGACTTCAATGACACCCAGAATTAAGACATTATAAGAAAAAAACCCTACTGTCACTAGGAATTTCTGCGACCTAATAGACCCCCGTCTATGTCCCGTTAATTTTCCCAATTTCTGCCTCATTAGTGGCTTTACCCCCTGATGTTGGTACTCTTTTATCAGAATCAAATTTAGCACAGTAATTAAGTAGGTCGACAAGGCTCCCGCGTACTTAACTACGTTGAACTATCTTGAGACCGCTTTTGGCGCATCACAAGGCTTAATTAATTAATTCATCTCTCGCTCTATACCAGTGATATGAAATTCTCTAAATTGATTTATATAAGTATGGGAAATTGTGGAAGGATTTAAATTGAAGAAGAGAATGATATTTCTTTATATACTATGAAAACTGCAAAAAGGATTAGACTACAAAGCTGTAAATGAAAGCAGTAAGCTAGTCTAAGAAAGCATTAAAGACGTGGCCAAGGGAGGGGAATACGCCCACTCCCTTGGCCTTTCCTGTGGAGAACTCCCTTACAGGGTTGGAGCTCTCGGAAACAGGAAGACAATGAACGCTGTGTATATTCTGAAAATCGTCCAAGAATTCGATTCTCTCTACATACAGATATCTGGCCCTATTTATAGCAGGTGTAACGAGACGGTTGCAAGAAGCTGTTGGGCAGTTCCAACCGCTGGGCAGTTAGGCGGTTGCAGGTGGTTATTCTGTTGAAGCGGTTGCTGGCCATAACTCCCAGGGTGTCCGCTTCGCTTGCGTTGATGGCACAGATCTTCCTCGCTTGCTGGAGAACAGGAGGGCATCAGCGTAGCACGGCTCGCTTGAGCTAGCTGGAATTGGAATGGCTGTACCGCTGCATTTGAAGTACTTAGTTGAAATCTGGTGATAGTCTGCAGCGGCGGGTATCTGGACTGTCGCTTGCAAGCGGGAGAGGCTATCGCTTGCGGCTATAAAGGTGGCCGCTTGCCTCTCATGCCTTAGTGTTTTCAAGGTGTGTTTTGGGCGCTTGCGAGCGAAGGCGGCTGTCGCTTGCGGCGTCTGCCTTAGCTTTTCTGGCTCCAGAATACCGCTTAAGAGGGCAAAAATCGTTAATAATCTCAACAATGAATTCTGGGTCATGCCTGGTGATATAAATCAATATTGTATGCCGATTACGAATTATTTTGATGGTTCTTATGCAAAAATTCAAGTAACACACATTTTTGTCAAGCTAAGAATATGCTCATATTTGGAGTCATCAAGCTTCATGTGGTTGCTCTATAAGAGAATACATATCTCGCAGATCTTTATGTTAATTTATCGAAACGATGGATCACAGTTACCATTGAAGCTGTAAAACTTCAATATATAGCACCAATTCAAAAGAACTACGTGACATTGTTGTGTAACAATGATGTGTCAAATATGTGGAGAATGCATATTTTGTTAAAAGTTATGTTTGTGGACATGGTTGTACATTCAAGAAGTGAGCACCAGAACTTGCCGCCTCAATGCAGCATTGGACGCAGGTACGTATTGTTGTATTTGGTTTGAAGGAATTTTATTGTAGATTGTAATCAAAGATGTACCACTCCAAGAATGTAATCAAAGATGTTACATGCCCAATATACCGACAAAGTAAGTATTACCTATACAAACTTTAAGGTGATATGATGCATGTATTCATTATTTTCGATATATATGGTTGGTAATATATTACCTCCATATTTATTGATTGTGCTGACAACATTCTTGCGTGGCCATGACATACGAAAGTGTCTTTTTGTTTTTTGTTTTGGTTTTTTGAAGTTGATTGTAGGTAGTCATTAGCTGCGCATTTTTGTTAATGGTTGCGCGGGACTGTACAAACCCATGGAGGTATTGTAAAAACATTTAGTGGGGAAGTAACATCGAAGGTATTGTGTAGACGGTTACTTCCGCACTATACGCCATTGACACTATCCATCGGTCTGAAATAGGTAGGTGGAATGTTACAAATAACATCAATATCTGTAGCTTGAGATATTACACTGTAATTTGTAACTAGCCATGGTTAATAGATCCAGCTGCACCTTAAATACCCTGGATGCCATGGTAATTAACCGTGCACGGTCTATACATACCCGGTAAAGAAAGGTGGGTACCTATCCTTTTAGCTAGGAAAAACTCCGATTCATAATATTTTTTGTGTTCTGTAGGGGTGAAGCTGAGGGTATATTATTCGATGAAGATGAAATGACCGGTGTTATGGCTGTTGATGAAAGCATGGACCGTATTTCAATGCAAAGATGCATTATCGGGGAAGGTCAAACGTTCAAGGACGCGCTTGAGTTTAGAAGGATGCTGAAGAATTACTGCATTGCGACACAAAAAGCATTTAAGTACCATAAGAATGACTCGAAGAAAATTATAGCCGCATGCATCGATAGTAGTTGTGGCTGGCGGGTTTATGCCTCATACCATGTTGCAGAGTGCACATTGGTATTCGTACTTGCAACTTGCAACATACCTGCGAGTTGAGCTTCTTGCAGTCTCGGGATCATCCACATGTAGATGCAAATTGGATATCGGATGTTTATAGAAATAAGCTACGTACTATGCCATCATATAAGGCATCCGACATCCAGATGCATATTCAAACCGATTATGGGATTAATGTCAAATATCATAGAGCGTGGCGAGGCAAGGAAAATGCGATGAGGTCTATCAATGGAGGGGGTAGAGACAGTTACGGGAATCTCTCCTGGTATTGTCATGCGTTGCGTGAGTGTAATCCCGGCAGTATAGTGGATTGTGAAATGGAAGCAGAAACACGACGTTTCCAACGCCTATTTGTATGCTTCAATGCTTGCAAAATTGGTTTTCTTAGAGGTTGCAGACTCTTAATTTTTCTATATGGGACACATTTGAAGAACAAATACAAAGGATGTCTACTCAGCGCAGTAGCAATGGATGGCAACGATGGGATGTTCACTTTAGCCTTTTCCGGTACGTATATTTACTAATTTATTGGTGAATATGCCCAATTTGAGATTATTTGTGCAATGGTTGGTAATTATTTACATTGATGAGGATCTCTTGTATGAGACGATATGTATATGAAGAAAGCTTTGTGAGGCTGTTGCGATTTCGCAATAGTATGCGTGGGCATTTTCACATAAATTTTTTTTTTGGTGGAGTATACCTATATTTATTAATCTTATACTCATATTGACTGATATTATATGCTTTATATGTTTGAAGATACTCTGGTTTGGTTGATATGTACTACGATTACTCATTACTGAACCCTGCTAAATTTTTCATGTGCTTGTGGTTTGGATGTTCATAAAATCTTGTTGCTATGCAGCGGTATCAGCCGAAAATGATGAAAATTGGGAATGGTTTTGCTGGAGGCTAAGGTCTGCTCTTCATGTTGATGGTCGTTATAATTGGAAAGAATATACTTTTTTTTTGGGATAGACACTCGGGACTTCTAAAATCTATCCCTGTTGTATTTCTCGGACCCCATCACGCATATTGTCTTCGGCACTTAGTAGACAACTTCCGCACACAGGTATGTGTTGAATATATTTTAAAAAGCTTTATATAATGTGAACACGGTAATTATATTTTGTTTAGGTAATGCGGAGATATCCGATGCACCACAAGAAACGATGGACATCTGTTTTCAACAAAGCCGCTTATGCACCCCTACGGAAAGATTTTGAGCAGCATATAACGTCTGTGGTGGAGGCTATGCCACTTGCCCGAAACTTTATTGCACAATCGCAGCCCCAGTGTTGAGCGAATTCTCTATTCCAAGGGACTCGTTGGGGGATAATAAATAACAATATAGCCGAGTCATGGAATAGTTGGGTGCGTTCAGCAAGGTCATTGCCTTTTGTTGGGATGCTTGATTCCATCCGACAACAGGTAATGTCTATGATGAATGAGCGTCTGGAGAAATCCGAGAAGATAGGAAGTAAATTGGCGTTGTCGTACATGGCCTCAAGGAGGCTACAGTGTAACCAATCATCAGTATCGACGTTTGAGGTGCTTGATCGTAATGATAGGTATGCGGTCGATTTGGAAAATCGAAAATGCACTTGTCAGGAATGGCAAATATTTCGGCTTCCGTGCAAGCATGCATGTGCATATATTGAAAAGTGTCATATGTCTATATATGACTTTTGCGATGAATATTACAGCGTTGAACGCTACTAGAAAACTTATGAAGAACCCATTAACCCAGTGCCGACTCATGATATGAATGTGGTGCAGAATAACCCGCAGACAGAGATAATTCCTCCTACAACATCGGTCCAACCAGGCCGGCCAAAGAAAAGATGGTTTGAATCACAACAGGTGAAACAATCTAAAAAATGTGGTCGTTGCGGTCACCTAGGACATAATCGACGAAGTTGCAAGGAGGCTTTACCTTAGGTATTTCTAGTTATGGTTGGAATCTCTTTTTGTTTTTGAAAGATTGTAAATTGAACGATGATCTACGTACGTGACCACTGTTGGTGGATTTTGAAATTGGATGGTATTCCCCTTGTATTCCTTGTTGTACACAGCTAATGTATCGGGGTATGTATCATTTTAAATTAATTCAGACCAATCCGTTCCAGGAGTACGTGAACGCATATTGAAAGTACCTACAATATTATTATATTTTTATAAAATATGCCAAAGACAATAGTTACTAACAGTGAATCGTCAGTAGGTATTAAATATATTTGACGGAGCATTTACAATGGCTATACGAGTATTTTGTGTCATTTTGGAAGTATATCCATTAATATAGGGGGTATACATAGTAGTAGTAATTGGATGCATATTTGCCAATGGAAGTATTCATATTCGTTTGCAAGTATTATTAATGTGAACATGGGTATTCAAGTTACATGGCCATAATTTGTCAACGATTGTTATTGGATCAAACAATTATGAGTGGATTACGTCATACCCACTTTTTGGACAGTGAGTATGTAACAGGGAATACTTTCGAGATGATATATGATAACACAGATGAATAGTTATTTATTGTAGGTTGTATACCAATTCGCAGGGAATTTTATTCGAAAATCAATGAGTATAGTTTTTATAGAAGAACGATCAGATATAGCAATTATGTGGTTGTAGACCCTGGATAGTTATCACAATTATTTATACTCTTTTTTACTGGTGAGTTTCCAGGTCGAACACAATGATTTAAAGTCATGAATTTCAATGGTAAAAATCTTGGAGAAGCGACGAAGAAACGAAAAGGGCCCGCTTGGAGCGGGCTTGAATCTTCTACTATTGAAAGCGGTAAATAAAGCAGTAAAAATGAACGGAGACGAGCGAAGCGAAAGCGAGAGGCAGAGTTCCAATGGTAAACAAATGATCGTGGTGTGGATGAATCGCGGTTACCAGAGGATTGGGGTGTGAGTGAGCGGCATATTATATGTATATGTATATGAGCGAATGAGAGTGAATGAGAGGTGTTGTGTCTGAACTGTGCGTTACGAAATGGATAGATTTCCCTGGATGCAGCAAGCGAATGACGTAAATGTGTTATCGGAAGCATATATGTATATTACGAAATGATGATAGAAAGATGTTGTAATTACATAAATTCGATTATAAAGAACTCATCACACTGGTATTTTGGCCTGGGGGGGATTTACAACAAGACTTCAATGACACCCAGAATTAAGACATTATAAGAAAGAAACCCTACTGTCACTAGGAATTTCTGCGACCTAATAGACCCCCGTCTATGTCCCGTTAATTTTCCCAATTTCTGCCTCATTAGTGGCTTTACCCCCTGATGTTGGTATTATTTTATCAGAATCAAATTTAGCACAGTAGTTAAGTAGGTCGACAAGGCTCCCGCGTACTTAACTACGTTGAACTACCTTGAGACCGCTTTTGGCGCATCACAAGGCTTAATTAATCAATTCGTCTCTCGCTCTATACCAGTGATATGAAATTCTCTAAAATTGATTTATATAAGTATGGAAATTTGTGAAAGAATTTAATTTGAAGAAGTGAATGATATTTCTTTATATACTACGAAAACGCGAAAAGAATTAGACTACAAGGCTGTAAATGAAAGCAGTAATCTAATATAAGAAAGCATTAAAGACGTGGCCAAGGGAGAGGGAAGACGCCCACTCCCTTGGCCTTTCCTGTGGAGAACTCCCTTACAGGGTTGGAGCTCTCGGAAATAGGAAGACGACGAGCGCTGTGTATATTCTGAAATTGTCCAAGAATTCGATCTTTTTTACATAAAGATATCTGGCCCTATTTATAGCAGGTGTAAAGAGACGGTTGCAAGAAGTTGTTAGGCAGTTCCAACCGTTGGGCAGTTAGGCGGTTGCTGGTGGTTATTCTGTTAAAGCAGTTGCTGGCCATAACTCCCAGGGTGCCCGCTTCGCTTGCGTTGAGGGCACAGATCTTCCTCGCTTGCTGGAGAGCAGGAGGGCATCAGCGTAGCTCGGCTCGCTTGTGCTAGCTGGAATTGGAATGGCTGTACCGCTGCATTTGAAGTACTTAGTTGAAATCTGGTGATAGTCTGCAGCGGCGGGTATCTGGACTGTAGCTTGCAAGCGGGAGAGGCTATCGCTTGCGGCTATGCAGGTGGCCGCTTGCCTCTCATGCCTTAGTGTCTTCAAGGTGTGTCTTGGGCGCTTGCGAGCGAAGGCGGCTGTCGCTTGCGGTGTCTGCCTTAGCTTTTCTGGCTCCAGAATACCGCTTAAGAGGGCAAAAATCGTTAATAGTCTCAACAACGAATTCTGGATCATGCCTAGTGATATAAATCAATATTGTATGCCGATTACGAATTATTTTGATGGATCTTATGCAGAAATTCAAGTAATACACATTTTTGTCAACCTAAGAATATGCTCATATTTGGAGTCATCAATATACGAAAAAAACCTATCTATATATGCAATGGTGGAAGAATGTCACTTATGAAATAATATAAGTTAAGGTGACTTATGGTAAGGATCTAAATGAAGTCGGTGCATAACTAATGATCTAAAATATTCTTTATATTGTGAATGTTCGTTCTAGCATATCTAAGAGTAAGAAGAAACACCCGACAAAAGCAAATAGAGTATGAGGGATAGAAAATATTAGTCTTAAGATATATAGGACTTCCCCACGTTGTAGGAAATGTATTGGTCATCTATGGTTTATGTCATCGGTCCAACGACGCTTTCAGAATAATTTGATGAGTACACCGGTGCTTTCAGAAAATTTTGATGAGTACAACACTTCTCAACATACGTCATTTACATTTAAACGTAGTTAGCGAACATATTCCTTTGTACGAGTACATTCTATTAGTTCAGAGGTATATAAATTACTAATATGAAGTTACAAATATCATCACTGAGGGTATATGGTTTGGTTCTAGAGGTATGTCGACACCTAATCATGGGTGTGTGAGTTACAAAACCTGGTATATATTAAGACGTTTGGATCATATATCATGTATACAGACGTATATCGGACCAAAATACAAGTACATATAAGCAACCTCTTAAAATAACATGCGTTAGATTAAACTGGTTTGTTTTGCTTAAACAGTCTACGTCAAAATATAACATTAACGCTTACTTCCCCTGATTGGCCATAAATCTAAGCTATCCATCAATCCGACCATTACAATTCACACCCCAATAATTCAATAAGTACTAAACAGGTCCTCCAGGCCCCCTGATAAAATGCTTGCAGCAATTTTTGCTCTATAGGCCTTAACATCGTCGAATTCGGCTGCCCAGCCACCCAGTGGATAATGGTTGGTATCATTTAGAGCATAGCTCTCAGCATACATGCATACCATGGGGCCACAGTCGAGACTTTCACCTTGGTCTCGACTAAAAATGACCTCCAGGGTATCATCCGCCATTGGCCACAAATGAATTTCATTCAAGTACAGGTACATGAATCGAGTCTGCATAAGAATAACCCAAGGTGAATTAATATGTCATGATAGATATAAGGCACATACTATAATTCTTACCAGACGTTTTGCGTTTCCTCTTGTGAAGGGAGATCTCTTTGAATTGTACTATGTCATCTTACGTGAAGCCGTATCCAAAATGCACAAATGCCAATGAAATTTTGTGTGGACCAAAAAAAATACATACCGACAACCATCCCTAATTTGCTCCATTACTTTAGCCACTTCAAGCTGCACGACCTCTTGTAGAGATAAATAAAACTCCTTGATGTTTTTGCTCACAAGATTTTTGTTTTAATTAATCGGCCGCTTTTTCAAGTTTGATGTTGTCTCAATGATTGTCGTCTGTAGTACGTTCAGAATTACATAAAAAAACTATTAACTGTAACATACGATGAACTAAATAGTATAAATATTAATATAAATTAACACCATACAACGACAAATGAATGAACGAAACCACATCGCGCTATCACCCCATGTTGGTGCCTAAATTCTTGACTGCAGAGCCATTGTAAGTACGCATCAACAATCTCACAACGGATAGCATCGTTAAATAACAGATCAATCACTGATTCGGACGTTACGTATACTAGTCCATGGTTCCAAACAGTCGCCCTACAAACACCAACCTGTTAGAGTGTTTCACATATTTGAAAATTATACATATAGAGCACAAGCTAGTATTTACCGTATATCAAAATTTGCAAGAAAGTTGTCTATCATTTTGGTTTCCTCTTTGGAAATGCATCTACTCCCACAGTAATTAGTAGACCCTCGGTAAAATTCCCACTTCGAACGATCGGCAACAAAGGTCTGTTTGTGGCCCGTTTCACCATCATCAACCTACAGTTACACAAGTTGCCAATCGAAGCACACACATTGTATATCCAGGCATATAATTTGTTCCGATAAAAATTACCAGCTACAAACTAAGGTACATGAAAAAATAATAGACATGCAAAATATGTTAACTAAAGCACACAAAATATTAACGTATGAATGTTTCACCAACCTTGATTGTTTGATCATCGTTTTCGCTTTTATCCTCTCTTTGTCTTGTTGCTCTCCCTTTCTTTTGTTTTAATTGTGGAGAAGAAGTGAATTCCAGGTCTTTTTTTCTTTTTCGGTCACGTCGCGCAATAACACCACGCACAATTGACGAGTCCTTTGGGAATTTTGCCCCAACTTTATTGCCACATTCTTCCACCGATGTAGTCTGTTTTATCAAAACGGTAAATACCCTCCATGGTACATACTCAAACCAATACAATAACGGAAAAAAAAAAAACTTGGAACAAACTTGTTTTGCTGTTACTACATCATAGACTTCCAGAGCAGTCTCCCCGGGAGGGTCAGAGGTATCATTCATCTGCCCCTGTGCCTCGGAAGCTCCAACCATATCTTCGGCATCTTTTTCTTCGTCGTCTTTATCCGCATTAACATTCACCCCATGCTCTTCCTCCTTTTCGTTCTCACTACCAGTCTCCCCAACCTCTTCCTCATCTTCATTGTCTTCACTATCATTCGGAGCATTACTTTATGTCTCAAGTTTCCTTGTCAACTGTTGGATGATGTAATCTTTTTTCCTGATTTCTACCTTCAACGATGCGATCTCATCCGCCGCATTCTACATCAAAAAATTTACTAAAATGATCAATACTAACTTTACTATATTTAATAAATAGACCATTAATAAATAGTGGTACCTCCTACACGTGACTTATAGCCTGGACAAACTTCTCTTCAGTTCGGCATCTGAAAAACTCCTCAACATCACTCATCTTCAGTGATAGTAGTTCTGAAGTTGCCAAAGCTCTAGAGATTGGTCCTTTGCTATCAAGCCATCTGAAGCAACGGGGCACTGTTGGTAGTCTCCTTGCTTTGTTGAGTCTCGGAATGCGCTCGTAAATCCAGGCCTGCGATGAAAAAGACTAATAATTTCAATTATCATAGACTATCTCAAAATTTTCTCACCTAAATACATAGATTAAATACGTACCAGCAAACCCATCGTGCATCCAGCCAAGTAAGACTTCCCAGATTTGAAGTCCCTCATAAACTTCAATAGGTACCGATAACATGCGGTCCCCCAAGCGTAGTCCCCTAATGACTTCAAGTCATCGACATAGCCCAGTAAAAACATTGTAACCCGATAGTTTATGGTTGTAAACAAAATGTTGGCAAAGACAAACAAAATATACAATCTGACAAAGTCATCGAATGCCACAACGTCGTTTTGATCTGCCATAGTTTCTTCCAGCTTCGCAAGAATTTCAATCCTTGTTACAGACCTCATTTTCCCCCCGAACAATCTCGAAAAGCTTTCACATGATGCAACGACATTCTCAGACACATACACTCCTTTTGAGTGTAAACCAAGAACTACAGAAAATTCTTCTGCAAAAAACTTTATTTCTATTTCATTGCTAATTTTAAATGATTGGGACTCGATGTCAAACATATTCACAATCGCCCACAACTGATGCCAAGGTACCTTCATTTTCGGACAATCTAAAAAATACCCAAAAGGCGTGAGTTGCACAGCTTTCAGCTGTTTGTCGTTCATTCGAACATTAATTTTTGCCATGTTTGTGTAGAAGAAAGGTATAGAGAATCTGGAGGTAAGCTCTTTGTATTCTTTTTCGGGTCTGCCATCATTTCAAGATAAAGACATATTTTCATGAGTATATCCAACACAAATGCAAGTTTATGACATAACTACAAAGGTACGTAGTCTTCTAATTGAGGTATATAAATTAACAATAAAGACACACCAAAGACAATAAGAGACACTCGCAAACAATATAAAGAATAAATACAATTTTTATTAATTGAAAAAATAGATACATCTATAACTAACCACATAACAGAGACATCGTCCAGCAATTAGTACTTAAAAAATCACCCGACAAGAAACAAATTGCCAACGGTATTAAAAACAAAAATAAAATAGAGGAACATCACCCTCCTTACATCTCAATCATTTTACTATAAATATAAAGTTATAAAAATGCAAATGAAGCTACTTCTGTTGACAACAAAGTCATTTATAATTTCAAACACATCAAAAATAACTCATATTCGACCCAATAGTGCGATAGAATGTCAAAGTAAAACGACCCGCAACCGAGGCTTCTAAAAACTCAACCGACACACAAATAAAATAAATCTAAGCACATCATGAACTCAAAATCTCGATCCTACGAAATATATAAACTTTAACTTACTTTTTTGTACTCCGCTTCGGGGAGATCTTTTTCGACATAACAGGCGGGAATGGAGCTCTGGGCAGTGAATGGAGACTTCCGATGACAGAAGAAGTTCCTGTGGGGAGGATCAGCGACGATTTCTTCAGATAGGACTTCAACGGCGAGAGAAAACGTATGATGGCAAGAGTTTGGAAAAAATGTGAAACCAAGATTTGGATGGTAGTATATATTAGGGTTTTATTTTTTTTTCTTTTGAATTTAGTATTCTATAACTAATATGAGTACATAAATAAAAAATATAGGTACATAAATCTGACTTATTCTTCGTATAGCGGGATAATTTAAGAGTACGTAATTGGATAATGTAAGTTTATATAAAAATAACATAAGTATATACAATATTTCTTATATTATATAGAAATCTTAAGGGTAAAATGGGCACTAGGGAGTTAAGTTCAATTGAAAATAAAAAGCATGGAGTGCAGTGTAAGTGCAAAATGAGAAGGGACTGAAACTAAATATTTTTAACGTCAGAGGTATTTAAATCCAATTGCCCCTTTTTAAAAACTACTATAAATATTTTTAGTAAAAATAAGAATAAATATCATTCAAACCCTAAATCTACTTCTCCTTCCTTCGATGTTTTCTTCTGCACGATGCTTTAGGGGTGTTCTACGATTTTCTTTTGCCAATTTCTACTATTGCCGTTGGTGCTGCTCTTCTATGGTAATTGATTTTCAAAACTTTGTTCTCTTTCATTCTATTTTGTTTGTAATTTTTATGTTTTGTTTGTTTACATATAAATTTGTCAAGTCTCACTTCTCTTTTCTTTAAAATCAACACCTCTTTTTATATCCCTAATTTCCTATCGAATTTTTGGAAAAGTTTGAAAGTTGCTTCAATCCAGATTCATAAGGTATTATCTTATTATTTTTATTTATTTTTTATTTTTTACTATTGTATAATCATATAATTTCAGAATTTTTATTTATCATATTTAATTTTTTATGGTATATATATATTTCTAATTTTTGTAATATTGCATATTCTATTGCCATATTTATGTTTATACCATCTTATGTGAATGAATTTGCTCGAGTTTATAGCAGTTCTTTTCTTCGTGATTTATAATTAGTTTTTTGTAATTATTTTTTGATGATTTACATATATTCAAGAGTGGACATCTATTGGCATCTAATGGGTATCTACAACATCCAAAGGTTAGTGCATCAGTTGGAACATGGATACATAAGCCTTTGATTTCATTAGTTTTTGGTATAAATAGGATGTGTGTGAAAAACTCCTGTAGTTGCTCGCTTATGAATGAGCATTATACAAGTAGGGGAAAACAGATTTCGATTTGAAAGAAAGATCAAAACAGATGACAGTGGAGGAAAATTTCAAGTTCACTACAGTAGTTCAGAAGCATTTAAAAAAAAAAGAATCATAGGCTTTAAGCTAAACAACATAACTAGAAAATAAGATTCAAGTGTTATGTTTGAATGTAGTTTGGAAGTATTATGTTTGAATATAGTTTGGAAGTGTTTTGATTGAGTTAATATAAGTTGCATGAGTTTATATTTGTGTTCAAGGGCTTTATTTGTTTTAACATAATAGGCTATGGATTTCAATATAAACATTATTTATATTTATATATATACTAAATTAAAACCACACATATTTTTAACATATATGTTTAATTTGGAATGTCGATAGTGTTTTGTAATGTTTTCATATCGGAAGGGATTGTCTGGCCCCAGTAACGATTGTCTACATCATCTTCAATCTACACACTGTTCTGAGCATATTTGGAATGGTGAATTAACCGATCATAAATTTAGTCTTATTTGTCCGGAAAGATATTTGACTAGTATATCTAAATTATGTCATCCTAGGGTCCTCCGGATATTAAATCGTATTGAATTTTATGGAGTTTATAGAGTTGGACATGTTAGACATGATCCTGGTCTTTTGACAGCATTAGTTGAGCGATGGCGTCCTGAAACACACACATTTTATTTCACATTTGGCGATGCAACAATTACATTAGAAGATGTTGCTATGATATATCAGTTACCCCTCGATGGTAAACCTATTGTCAGTGATGCCACATCTCGACAGACTATAGAACACTCTTCAAAGATTTGTATGGATTTGTTACAATTGTCTCTTGACCCATAATATTTCAAGCATGGACCATGGATTTTGCACTCTACTTTAGAAGATCATTTGAAGAGTGCTGAGTTTCAAATTGATAATGATATTCCCGAAGAAAAAGTAGAGTGTTGGGCATGTAGATTTATGCTATTGATGATTATGGGAAGTATACTTCCGAATTCAGATGATTTGAAGCCATTAGCATTGCTGGAAGACAGCGTGAAGAAGCCCAAGAGCCCCAAACCATTGCTCTCCCTGTTCTTACTGGCAACCAAATCGCCGCCGCCGTCGATCTCCTATTGGATTGGTTCTTCGAATCCGGCGGCGCCGTCGCATTCTCCAGCCTGGAAAATCTCAAGTTCAAAGCCATTTTAAGGCACCTAGGATTGCCAGAATTGTCGAGGCATGATATTGTAACAACACGCCTCGAATCGATGTATGATCGAGCTCGAACAGAGTCCGAAGCTCGAATCAACAACGCCGAATTCTTCCAAATTGCATCGGACTGCTGTTGGAGCAATGCCGATGACGATGATTGGAATGGCTATTTAGTCAATTTCACGATTAATCTACCCAACGGGACGCGACTCTTCCACCGCGCCATGCATTGCTCCGGCGGAGCGTTGCCGGAGCAATACATGGAGGAGGTTTTGCGGGAGACGGTTCGGAGAGTATCCGGCGACAATCTGACGAGATGCGTCAGGATTGTGGCGGATAAGCGTTTCGCGACCTCGTTGAAGAGCTTGGAGGTCGAGAATCGATGGATGGTTAACGTACCTTGTCTTCTTCGGGGATTATCAAGTTTGATCAAAGACTTGTGTCAAAATCTTCCGTTGTTTGTAACCGTTGCCGAGAAGTGTCTAAAAGTCGCGAACGTGATCAATTCTCGACATGAGATTCGGAATTATCTCGAAAAGGCGTTTGTTCTTCGCTTCATAAGAGTCCCGTCTCCTAAGCACGACGCGTCGAAGAATTCGCGTCATTTTTTCGAAATGTTAGAGGATATACTCTCATGTTCCCAAACTCTTAACTTCGACGATTCGCTTAAATTCGTCTCGGATATAATCCGGGACGTTGCGTTTTGGAACAACGTCGAGGCTACTCATTCACTTGTGAATTTTATTTTATCGACGTGCGAGGAGGTCAAGATGGATAGACCGATGATTGGGCAATGCTTTCCAATCTGGAAAGCGTTGAAGGATAAATTGAAGGAATTGTGTTCGAAACACGGGATAGTCGAAGGACCGGTCGATAAAATAGTCGAGAAACGGTTTCGGAAATGCTACCACCCGGTGTGGTCGGCCGCATTCGTGCTCGATCCGTTTCTTGGTGAGAGAAGTCGCGAGCGGGAACTATCTCCCGCCGTTCAATCTCTTGACGAGCGAGCACGAGAACAACGTCGAGCATCTCGCGACCCGAATGCTTTCGGGGGACGAAGCTCGAACGGCATTGATCGAACTCGCGAGGTGGCAATCCGACGGTCTCGACTCATTATACGCACAAGCCGTGCAGGTGAAGCTTCGGGACCCGATGAGGGGGAAGATGAAGGTGGCGAACCTGCAGAGTAGCCGGCTCGTGTGGAGCACGTGCCTTAAAGGGTTCGAGTCGCTCGGGAAGGTCGCCGTTTGGGTCTTGTTTCTCCACGCGATATGCTCGTGTGGGATCGAGTGGGATTCATCGTTCGTGAGATGGTTTCGCGGACGGGGGAATTGCCCGATAGCCGAAAAGCTCGTTCTCGTCGCAGCGGAGACGAAGCTCGGGAGACGGGAGATGGTGTGTTCGGAAGAAAGGAATGATGCCGACGAGATGTTCAACGAGGTTTTCGATGGTTCGATGCCGTTGCCGTAATTTAGGTCTCGTCTAGGGGATTTCAAAGCAAGGATGAAACATCCCTTGTTTGACGGCTTCAACTTGGGTTCGATCCCAGGTAGATGCATGCGAATATGTAAAGAAAAAAAAAATTGGATTTCTAAAATATAGATATGAAATGAAAAATTATAAATTTAATCTTGTAATTAATATCGGTTATTGTTTTTATTTTGTATATTAATACCGGTTATTTTGGCAAGAAAAACAATTTCTTGCTAATTTAAAGCACAACAAATGAAATATAGAAAATAAAAGTAATATTTGATTATAAATAGGGGACTAAATGTACAATACGAAAGAGATGGGGGACTGAGTCGAGAGATTTTATGTTCGTGTGCATTGGAAATGGAAGTTTTTTATTATTATTTTTTTAAATATAAATTAGTAAACAAACATGTTGTACTCTATTATTTATTGATTTGTTGTTGTTTGCATTTATTACATGAATGTAAGATTGTAATTATCACATACTTACTACGTATTAATTGTTCAAATATTCTACAATATTTTTAAAATAAAAAATAATTAAATTTATTTAATTTAAATTCCACACTTTATTTGATCGTATTATTCAAATAAATATATTTTCTTTTTCTTATGATATCATTTAATTTTCAAATTATTCTATTTAATTCTACTCATTTAAATTTTTATTCAAAAAATAAATATTGTATAATATTTGGGGCGAATGAAAGTAATTTATAGCATCTTTATGCATTTATCAAAACAAATTGGTCTCTTTCTGGCGTCCGAAAAGGTTCCGGACTATTTTTCAACAATATATATATATATATATATATATAAAAACACCCGAACCAAACACGTAAGGAAATATTTTTTTTAGATGAAATTTTCTTATATTTCATTTTTCATTCAATATTATTATTATTATTATTATTATTATTATTATTATTGTTATATAACTCTATTGTTATTTTTTTTAGTAGAAAATATCATTTTTTTTATCTTAAAAAGTAAAAATAAATAAATAAACAAATAATTTTCGTCTAGTCAAATGAGCACACATTTTAACGATGAAGTCAATATTATTATTATTATTTTTTAACTATTTATCCATTTAAAAAAATACACAATTAAATATTCAAACATGTAGTTATTTTTGTTGCAATTTGTTATTTTACAAGATTTTCGAAAGACGACAACGCAAGTAAGAACATTATATACAAAGTGGCTGATTGGCATTTTATTTAAATTGACCAAACATAGATGTGTCTATTATCAATGACGTTTTCTGAATTAATTGATATGATGATGAAGTAGTTGCCAAACCAAATTATTGCACCTATAATAATAATAACAATAACAAAATTATCAATTATGAAAAAAATAAAAATAAAATACAACGATAAAAGTTATTATTTTATCACTATGCAAACACCACACACACACATTAAAATCATTAAAAGAAAAAAATAAATAAAAATCTAAAGATAGAATCCACTTACAATATTCGATTTCTATAACTTCGGTATAATAATTTATTTCTACACATTTAAAACCATATTTTATTTATAAAATTAATTTATATTAATTACATAATTGTTATGTATGAAATTTAGAATTAGGTTAAAAAGTCCAAGGTAAAAGAAAAATGGGCCTGACATTAGAGTTGGTTGAACTGGCTCAAGGAAAATAGGTTCATTTCTAAGGAAAGGCCTTCAGGACGGGAAGTCCGCAGGTCGGGAGGCCTTCGGGATGGGAAGTCCGCAGGTCGGGAAGTTCTACAGGTCGGGAGGCCTTCAGGACGGGAAGTCCGCAGGTCGGGAGGCCCTCAGGTTGGGAAGTTCTCAGGTCGGAACTCTGCGGCAGGACCAACAAATTGGATGGTTTGTTAGTCGGGATGTCTGTAGCTAATCCAAACAAGTCAGATGGTTTGCAAGTCGGGAGGATTGGCAGTCGGACCAATACGGTTGTAGATTGGCAGTCGGGCCTAAAGGGCGGAAGGTCTGTGGTCGGCTCAAAGAGTGAAATATAGGGATAATTTCGGTCTGCTGAGGACACGTGTCAGCAGGAGAAGGGTTGGAAGACGGTTGGGAAGGAGACGTTGTAACCGTTCGGGTGGCGGTTTTTCAGTACGGTTTCCCAGAGAATATTTAAGGATTTGGATCATCATTTGGCAAGGCATCTTCAATCAACTTCAACAAAGCAAAGTCAGATTTGGGATCACCACTTTAAATTTCAGTCTTTTATTTTCCAGTTTATTTTCTGTACCATACAGTGTTTAGAGATTCCTAATATCAGGCACTAATTAATCAAGTTTAAGGATATTTTCTATATCTTTGAATTTTACTTTATTTTTGTTGAAAAATTACATCAACAAATTGGCGACCACAGTGGGAGCAAGACAAAATTGCTCATTTCAATTCCGGCGACAATTTCATACGTCTTAGATCCGGCCGTATCATCGGAAGGGTCCATATGGCAGGTTCACAACCTCAATCATCTTCGACACCGGTGGGAGAATCCGTTCCACCACCTATTGTGTCAAATGCCGGGGAAATCCCACAACCACCAACTGATTGGTGGTCTTATGTTCAACAAATGAACAACCAGCAAACTTTGGTTATGCAGAATATGTTGCGTGAGCAACAAACGAACATGTTGCGTGAGCAACAGAGTCTGATGCAGAACATGATAGATCAAGCACTGTCAAGGGTTAGTCTTCAACCCACTCAAACTCCACCAGGAGTATCACCATCCAGACTACAGGCAAATTTCGCAGGGCCATCATTCGTGGATAGTACATTCCCAAGTGCCACAAATCCCAACCGAATGGATAGGGGAAAATCTCCTCTGACTTTTCCAAACACTGTTCCACTCGGACCAAGGGTTACCAATCCGCAGCCGAACAATGCAAGGGAGGACAGGCCTGGAGGATATATACATGATCCTATTCATATTCCTGTGCAGGATCCTTTCCATGTTCCTGATCATCAACGCTTTCATGTAGATCCTGATGAGATTGCACATATATTAAGGGATCAGTTTGGGCTAACTCCTCAGATGGCTAACCGTCCTGCATATCAGAGACCTTTCCCAGAAAGGATCGTTAATGAACACCCCCTCCCAAGGAATTATCGACCACCCGATTTTCATGCATTCTCAGGGGAGGACGGATCTTCCACCATAGAACATGTTGGTCGGTTCACAGCACAATTGGGAGAAGTTGGTAATAACCCTTTTTATAAGTTGCAACTGTTTGGTCTATCTCTTACTAGAACAGCGTTTTCGTGGTTTGCAAGTCTGCCCCCTGGACAAATTCAGACGTGGGAAGGACTGGAGATGGCATTTCATGCCAGATTCTTCAATCCTTTACCAACTGTGTCTTTAACTGATTTACTAGAATTGAGACAGTGTCCAGAAGAATCTGCTTCACAGTTTATAGAAAGGGTGCGATTGATGAAAGGGCGATGTCCTACGGTAATCAGTGAGAAAGAAATGACCAATTTAGTGGTCCGGAATATGCATACTCGCTTAAGAAAGGCACTCACTGCCTTGGACGTTGAGGATTTGGCAAGTCTTGCGTCTAAGGCAGGACGTTTAGAGTCTTTGTTCAGAGAGGAAGATCAGCATAACAGGCGTAATAGAGGCCAACATATGGCGAGTATGGGAACAGAAACATGTGACTTTGATTTTAATCAGTCAGAAGAGATGGCAGCTGAAATCCTTTCTGGGAAACCTTATGTATGCCCCAAATTGAAGCCAGTACCAGGATCTGAAGCAAAGGATCAACCGACGTTTGATAGTTCGAAAGCTGACGAAATCTTCAATATCCTGCTGACTGATGGACAGATCCGTATTCCAAAGGGGCAAAGACTGGCCACTAAAGAAGAAATCAAAGGAAAACCATATTGTAAGTGGCATAATTCTTTCACACACAATACAAGTCAGTGTACTCATTTTAGGAAGGAAATTCAAAAGGCCATCAAGACAGGTCGGCTCAAGTACATCACTTTAGGTGTAGACCAGCAACCGTTTCCGAAAGTAACAACGGCAATGGTTGACATCCAACCAAGTTCGGAAACAGGGAAAAGTTCGGCCAATAGTGGACAAACAGGGGAACGAACTCAGGCAAGCCCCGGAACAAAGAAAGGAAATCAGCCAAACAGCAGCCGACCGGAAGAACGACTCAAAGTTTGTGAGAAGCCAGTCGCTGAAAAATGGGACCATCCAGACGGTTCTTTTAATGTGGAGGTGAAAGAAAAGGTTTTAGTATGTGACCACCCGACCAGGAAAATAGGGTCAGTCGGGAACAATTGGGCTCGAAATAAAAAGCCTTTACCAGTTGATATAGATCCTCGTTTCCCAGGTATGAATCGTACACAGATTCGCAATGCCAAACGCAGGTATGCTGCAAAGTATGGGAAACGAGTTCCTTCAGCAAAACAACTAACCGACGAACAAAAAGCAGCCGACTGCTTGGCAGGAGATCAGTCCATTCGGGTCTTTACAGAACAAACAACCAACGAGCAGGGAGCAGCCATGCAATCTCCAAAAAGTCGGTCCAGTCGGGTCTGTTCAAGAAAGCAACCGAACGACGGATTAGACGCTTCAGATTATACTAAAGGAAGTTCGTCGGGACAGAGGAAAGGTAAAGGAATATCAGATGAAATAATTAGAGGTTTTAGATGCCAACATTGTGAACGGATCAATATTAATCCATCTCCTGAGGAATTCCGTATAGAATCTTTGACGGTTCAATCTCAGAATAAGACAAAGGAAGAAGTTGTAACTACAGAGGAAAATTCGAGATCTGTTAAATCTCGTCTGGGGCCACGAATCCCTTGTCGAATGACAGAGATTAATCAGATGAGAGATGAACCGATGTGGGCGAGTCTAGTAGATGATACGATGGACGAACCTTTATGGGCATTCTTGGCAGATAATGAATTAGAGGAAACAGAGTGGGCAAAGACTTCAGATTCCGAGTCTCAGTCGGAGACGCCTTCGATAGTGTT